ACGCCTTCTTTAAATTTTATTCTTAAAGGAAGGGTTTCCTTCGGTTTTTAAAAAAATTCTAACTTTGAGTTTTTTTACGACTGTGTGGTGTTCATTGGTAATGTATCGCATCCGTCAACTTATTATTGCTGCCGCTGATATCTACAGCGTGATCCATGTCTATTGCGAAATTCTATGAGAGCTATGCAACCCCTCCCGCAAACCGTAGGCAAGAATGTACTTTTCCTTAAACAGTTCTAGCAATCGGTAGGTTTCAAAATCATTCAGCAATTTAGAAACATTTTTAAAACCGAAGGAAACCCTTCCTTTAAGAATAAAATTTAAGGAAGGCATAATTTGCTATCAAATAAGTACAAGAGAGTATTATTTCGTGCATGCTTTCCATTAAATATATTTTCATTGATAAAGGTAGTCAAAATCAATTATAAAAATGCATGCTATTTAAGTAGTCCTGTTTTACAGAATCAAATTGCGGAATGTTTCATGCAGCTTCGCCATACTGTATATGTAGACCTTAAACCAATTAATTAGTGATATAAAGCTAAGCATCGTTATGCGGTCGAAACTATTTTCGCATCTGTTGGCGCTGCCAAGCGTGATCAAGAAAATCGATACCCAAATATTCCAGGTACCAGGTAAAGTAGTTTTATGTCTCGTAAGTAGTGCAAGACTTTGAGAGTTTTTCCATTTTCCGTAATTATGTCTCAGTCTACAGCTGAGGCAAGATTCAATTTCCCGTTGACTCAAAGGGACGCAAGAACAGCACTCGAATACAGGACTTTCACAGAAGTGAGTTGTAAAAGTTTTTGTGTTATTTTCATACATGCACTGTAGTTCTCAAATAAGTCTTAACTTATATTGCACAGTTCTGCCCATTACGTTAAATTTTGTAAGCATAGTGCGATGTTACGAACGAGCAACCTCAGACCTGATGTTGTTCCTTGGTTCTGCGTCATCTTGTTGCATATCCTCCTAAACTTGCTTACGTTTGGGTTCCGCAATATACACATGGCATTTGGGCAAGCCGGAAATTTAAAATATGGAGCAGTTGGCTTAAAAATTACCAATTACCACTGCTGGGCCTTTTTGAATAGCCGGGAGGCCGTTTGCTTTACTGAGTAGTCAGCATATAATTATAGTCATGGTCATGCACAAAACAGTACCGTATGAGTCGTGCGATTTCCCATCGGGTCGATGCATTGGCGAGTCCGAATAAGGGCAGGTGGCAGCCGATAAATATATCAAATTTCCACCGATGACTGCCACACTTGCTCGCGGACTTGTAGTGACCTCATATTCTAAGCCATGCTTTCCTCGCACGCCTTTGGGCCATGCCTAGCATGTCAGTCTCTCGTGGTTACTAAGCGCATGTGCACCA